ATGCTTGATAAATGTCATCACTAAGCCATTTTGTACTATATGACCATGAACTAATTCATACAAGTAAATTTCATAGATTATTTATAGAATAACTTCTCAGGAATAATTTTATAATTTATTTTTCTTCTCACTTTTAGCTTATCATCACTTCTCTAGGTTCCTCTCCTCACCTCTTTAGTGCTCCAGAAATAGTGTTACTTAATGCCAATGAGGCAATACTTAGTCTAACCCTAGGTGCTCGTTTGGGGGTAATTACTTGGCACTAGAGCAGCACTTAAGCAGCCGACTGCTAGATGACTAACTCCAGGGCCAGAAATGGCATTCACTTATGCCAAAATGTTAAAAATAAATAAATACATGACAAGCACAAAGATTTACTAATTTGCTTTGTCTTTCCCAATTAAGTTGAGTTTATTTTGGAAGAGAGAATAATTTCAGTTATGGTTGGATTGGGAGTGAGGGAGAATACAAAGAAGGATCATAACACCTGGGCTTGGGGAGGCTGGGAGATGGGAAGGGCAGGGAAATGGGCTATTTTTGTGGCATTCCTGACAGTATTATCAAGCAGCAGGTGCTCAGCAAGCCTCATGACTCCCCAAATACACGACACAGCCTATTTTACAAATCAGTAATGACAATAACCTGGTCTACTCTGTCTCTCTCAAATTTCTCTTTAGATTTTGTATTCAGTAACATGGATTCTTTTTTATTTTTAATTTAGTAGTCATTTTTGTTCTGCATTTTTGTTGTTAGATTACCTAATTTTGCCTAATAGAGAAAGTTTTGTTAGAATTACACTGAGACACAACATACTGAGGAAGTATGGGGAAAAAGAAAGGTTTGAACTAAAGATTTGATAATAGGAGGGGTATAATTAATCCATAATTTCAACATCTATAGCACTTTCAGACTTACAAAGTGCTTTTATTCAACAAACTAGGAGTTTGTTGCAATAAGTGGATAATGCAATTTTAAATTTCTTCCCATTTCACAGATGAGAAAACTGATTGAATTGGATCCTTCTCTAATCCATCCTTCACAGACCTGCCAAAATAAGGAAGCTCTGTGACACAATAGATACAGCCCTGGACTTGAAGTCAGGAAGATCTGAATTCAAATCTGATCCCACTCACTTCCTGTGTAACCTAGGCAAGTCACTTACAATTTGTCTCAGTTTTCTTAACTGTAAAATGGGGATAATATTAACATCTACCTCCCACAGTTGTTGTAAGGAGCAAATGAAATATTTGTAAAGCATTTGCATAGTTCCTGGCATAGAGTAGGCACTTAATAAATACTTGTTTCTTTCGTTTTTCATAAGACAATGTCTGACCGTATTATCCCCCTGCTAAAAAACAAAATAAAACAAACAAAAAAAAAACTTCAACGTTTCCTAATAGATTCTAGAGTTAGGAAAGGGAAGACAAATTTATATATTGTATACTATATGCCAGACATTGTGCTAATTAAAAACATTATATAATTTAATCTTACCACAACCCTGAGAGGTAGATGTTATTATCTACCTTTTTTTTTTTTTCAGTTGAGGGAACTTAGGTAAATGGAGATTAAATGACTCACCCAGAGCAACATGACTAGTAAGTGTCATAGGTCATATCTGAACTCAGGTCTTTCTGTCTCCAGGCTCAGTTCTCTATTCACTGCATTATCAAGCCACACACTCTTTAGCTCAGCATTTAATAACCTTCATAATATGGCTGCAACCTAACTTTTAGCCTCATTTCATATCACTGCACTTCTTATAGCCGATTCAGTAACACATCTAACGCGCCATTCACTTATACAAGCTGGTACTCCATGCCTTGAATGGATTCCCTCATTGTCCTAATTTTTTTTTCAGAATTCTTATCTTTCTTCAATACTCAGCTCAATTGGCTCTTCTTAAAATTACCTTCCCTGATCTCCTCAAAGATTTCTTTACCTCCATACTCATATATATTCCTAAAGCATTTGCTCCTTATTTCTCCTTTGATTTCTGGGCATGTCCTCCCCAGCAGAATATAATCTCCTTGGGAGGGGCTGTTTTGGACCTTTGTATTCCCAATACCTACCTATTGTGCATTGTACATAATAGGTGGTTAATGGATGTTTTTTGAGTTAAAATGAAAAGACATGGATGGGGTAGAGAAGGGATAAGGAGAATGTGATTTTGTCTTCAAATATTTGAGGAATAAAGTAGAGGAAAGATTTCTTCTATTTGGCCCCAGAGCACCTAGAAGCCATGAATAGATATAAATATAAGTATAAACTTCATTACAATTAGAGCCTTTTAAATGTGAAATGGGATCCCTCTGGATGTCATGAGTTCCCTATCTGTATCTATTTCTATCTATCTATATGTATATATGTACATGCATATAGAGGTGTACATATGACTTCTTTGCAACCTGTGTATACTATGCATTTAAAAATATGGGTTAAAAAAAAAGCATGGGTCCATTGGTTTCATCAGCCTGACAATGATTCCATAAGCAAAAAAAAAAAAAAAAGGTGAAAGACTTCTGCTTTAGAGGTGGGTTCATTACTTGCTAAAGATATCATAGAATGGCTTAATGGTTTACCTATAGTTTGTTTTGTTAGAAGACTCTGAAGTCCCTTCCAATTTTAATACTCTATAATTCTATGGGATTTGGGTTTTTAGTCATGTAATTTTAGATTAATATTAAAATGTGTTCAGATTTCCTAGGATATGCTATTATGGAGTTGGACTCAACAAGTATGACTAAGTATTTTCTTTATAGTGCACATTTCATGGATATATATATATATATATAATTGAGAGAAATCTGTCCTTGATTACTAAAACATAGTTTTATCCATATAGAGTAAATATAGGTCTTACTCTGTATATGTGAAAACTATTTGGAAAGAGATCATCAAGGATTTTTAATGAGAAAAAGAGTTGGGTGAGTCATAAAGTAGTAATAGATAAGATATAGATAGCCTGAATGCTTTACTAATACTCACAAAGTATTGAAAAATCAAAGTCTTCTACTGGATTGGACAGATTGTCTATAGAGGATTTTTTAGGGAGATATTGATGACTCAAAAAGGATCAGAGGGATGACTACAATAGCAAAGAAATTATGTTTTAATTTCCGTATTCATATTCCCCAGTGCCTAACATACTTCCTGGTATATAAATAGGTAGTGAATGAATACTTTTTTGATTAATTGATCACAGATTGATCAAAGTATCAAAACACTTGCTTTACTAGTAAATACTAACTAAAATAACTGTACAATCAATAATGATCAAAGTGGTGATCATTAAACTCATTGAATATATACTGCACAAATCATGTTAAAATGTAAAATGATTACAGAATTATAAACATTAAATTAAGTTCTCTATTCTACAAAGTGGGGAATATATCTTTTTGTGTTTTCCCTCATACCACCTTCATAGATGAATTGAAGATGATCTATCAGACCTTACCAACTACCCTCTTTAATGTGTAGGGATGTCTACTTCTGTGAGACTCCTTGACACCAAAGAACTTATGCAATGTAGAATTCAATCTACTTAAGGGAGACCTGTGGAGAATGTGAGTTAATATGTTCTCTAGCCCTTTTCGCAGTCCACTTGAGGTAGTATATATAATAGAACAAATTGTAAGTGGAGTGGCCTGTCTTTGCTAATAGAAATTTTGCATATATAAAGCAGATAAAATTCTATCAGTATTGACCTCTGTATGCCATTTATTGGAGGATTACTCAGATATTTTCTGATGAAGAGGAAAGTGCTGTCTTCATTAGTCTTCACTTACTCCACATCTTTAAAAAGTTTTGAAAAGTGACACAGTGGGGTTGCTGTGAGAATCAAATGAGACAAAGTACTGGAAAATAATTTGCATATTTCAAATAATTTGCGTATACAAACATAAAGTATTATAGTCTCTATATATAGAAATTATAGAATTATATGGATAGCATAAACACATATAAGGAAAAATCTTAGTATGCCAGTGACTATTGTCCCTAAATTTCTATTTGTTAACATTTTTGAAAACACTATACTGTACAAGGATGTATCTACTTTATGGAAAGTCAGTGGCAGCATTTTTGGAGCCAGAAAATCAGATTAAATAACACGCAAAAACAGTTGTCAAATGATACCCTAAAAATGATTGAGTTTAAAATGCAAAATATAAGCAATTGAGAGTGATTATAGTAGTTAATCATTTTAGGCTTTCCTTTGAAGAATGCACCTTCATTTAAAATTGAAAACAAATGCTATTTTTGCTGTTTAGTATTCATGTTGCTAGATTTGTTTTATTGGCTAGAATAGACATTAGAGTATACATGCTACCTTCAGAATTTGTTCTTTACTAATAGTGTGGTCTCTGCAATATACATATTTAGCTCTTCTGGGTGTGTACTACAGCTCCCTTTGGTGTTCTATATATAAATTTGCTCAGCAGATTTGTGTTATTAAAATGTAAATAATGGTATATAGAACATTTGGCAAATGAAAAAACCAAGCTGGGAATAAACAATCATATTTATTGTTAACATTTGGGCTAGTTTATTGAAACACACCTTGCAGTAACTGTCACTAAAATGATTAGTTATAAAGTTTAAATTTTGAGAATTGCCTATTTGGGTAAGCTATGATTTTATTTGTATAGTTACAATATTCACTGTTGAAGTATGAAATGGATAATCTTCCCCCTACCAAACCAACTCTATGCATTAAATAAAATGCATTTACTATGCCCAAGATTTAATCATACATTGTTTAAAATTAATTATTCCATTTTAATTGCATTGTATAAACAGAAATGACCTGTTAATTTAAAGGAAATCTATCAGCACAAAATGAATTCAGTCATATAAACAAGCGAGATGAACTTGACCTTGTTTGAACTTGTTTTGATGTGGCCCAGATGGTAGGCTACATGCTTGAATAGCAGGCTAAAGCGGAGGAAAAACTCATATAGCAAGATCTAGATTTATAGCCTTTTGCAAATTCCTACCTTGTATTGTCCTTTCAGCATCTGTTCTGCCCCCGCTGCGGTCAGCTTCTATCTCTGGGGTCAGAGAGTCTAAAAGCACAGAAAGGTAAGACTGACATATTTCATTTGATTCCTACGGTCCTTTTTACAACCTGTTACTCCTGTGCTGAATTACAATACAATCAACCTTCGTCATTTAAAAAAAAATGTTGAACAATGACTGGAGGTCAGGACAATTTTAGGAAGATTTAGAAAGATTAATGAGCAATGAAAGATGGTTCTTAAGCAGGGAGGTGGGGGGGAATGAGTTGTCAGACTAATAATTTAGCCTGTTTTTTAGTCGGTGTGCTAAGCAGCTGAGCACTATTTGCTCGCAGATCTAGAGGGGAAATAAGAAAAAATAGAATAAATCTCAGAAATAAGGGAGAAGTGAAGGGTTGCACTCCTCTAACACATGCCTTCCCCTCCAATAACATCTTCCAGTAGAGAATAATGAAACATATAAAATAGAAAAATGTAAATTCACAAAATAATTTAAAAATCATTCTTTTCCAGTACAAAAAGGACAATGTTAAGTAATACATAAGTTCTTACCATTTAAGACCCTGAGACTATCTGTTGATGCTGCCTGTTTTAGGGTCTGCTCTGCTTGTTCTCGACGCTTGGTCTCAAATTCAAGCGCCTCCTGCAATTTCCTCTTTGCCTTTTTCTCCTTCTTTAGCCGCTTTTGAACTATTGCTGTAAAAGATAGCATATTGTTAACTAAAGACATTACATTTTGCCTATTGTCCACAGATATGGTGGGCTGGGTCAACACGTAGAAAATGAAATGGGATGAGTTAGTTATTTAGATAATTCAGGTCTAAAACACACTTCTTCAAAATAGTGAGATGAAACTAAGTGTTGTCATGCTAGATCTTTTTTTCTTCCTTCCCCAGAACAATCCCCAAATTTTCAACTTCACTTTTGATATATAAAAGTAGCTTTACTAGAAACAAAACTTAAAATATGGTGTTAATAAATATTCATAGTTATTAGTAAAAATAAATCTTATTAAATATAATCAGTGACTAAATTGCCTACCCCTTGGCTCTGAGGCCAGGACAGTCTACATCTGTGTAGGTAAGCCCTTCAAAAGTTATACTGAGCTAGCTGGAAGGGGCAAATAGAGGGGTTTTGTGTTTCTTTTTCTTCTTTCTGGAAGGTGTCTTGTTTTACCCATAGAACTGGAACAAGAAAATGTATATAATTCCAGTATGGAATTTTAAAGGATGTAGTAAACTTCCATTAAGGAACAAATAGGTTTCTTCAAAAGTGTATTTACAAGATAAAGGGAATGAAATCTTTTTTGAGGGTATTTCATTGTGTCCTTAGAGATACTGACCCTTCCTTAACACAGAATTTACACATGCTCCAATATATTCCAATAAAATGTATAATTTTATTTTGATGAAATCTAATGCAAGAGAATCTAAACACTTTACAACTAAAATATCATGAGCTCCTATTTAAAGCATGAATGAATAAGTATTACAGCAACACTCCTGCTTTTCCCTAAACCACCATATCCACCCCACCCCCAGCTGGGACTTTAATTTTATCCAAGAATTTAATGTGTCATCATTAAATAGTAATGAATCAATGTTCTTCAAGAAGTGTGCATTAAATGTACTTCCAGTATGATGATTATTTTAATTTTTACAGTGTAAGTACATGGCAAATAATCTTAACAAATGAGAAGCAAGCATGTGTTTCTCTTTGAATTAAAATTTTATCATGGCTGACATATTGTGAATGTGACTATGACAAGCAGAGCCAGAATGAGCAAAGCCTCACTGTGTAGCTGTCCACAGAAGAGACATAATTCCAGTTTTACTACTTGATCAGACTGCACAGCAGTAGGATGCATTAATTAGAGGATATGCAGACGGGAGGGGAAGAGGGTATTTAAGACAAAAGAAATTGATACAGTTATTGTTTAACTCCAGTTATCTAAAAGGACACCCTGATATCTGAAATATTTGCATGACTGTGGGTTTCATAAAGTAAAAAATCTCCACGATATAGAATTAAGGGTATGATAAAAAAGAAAACCAGGATTTAGATAAACAAAATGCTTGCTAATTTCATTTTATCCTAGCCTCAAGAGAAGTACAAATGTTGAAGATTGTTCTGGACCTATTTGTTGACGGAAGTACATATGTAAATGGAAGCTGGCCTTCTGAGATGAGAAATGACAACTACCACATTACGGCATACAATGTAAATAAGTTTAATCCTGGAATCAACAAAATTCTACTTTAAAAATTCATTTAGTTGAGATAATGATGATATCAACTGCTTAAGCATCCCTTTTTTCACTGCAGACTTATCTAACTAAGGAAATCACATTATATCAAGTCCTCCATCAGATGAAAGGTATAAGGCAAAATGACTGATTCCTGACTAATTCTTGAGCCAATGAGGACAAAGGACTTGAAAGAAATTAATAACTTTAAAGTCAAGTCAGTATACATTTATTAAGCACTTACTATGTCAAATGCCAACTGTTGCCCAACCCCCAAATTCCTAGTACCTAAGACTCCTAGAAGAGGGAAATTACTTTCAACATAATTCATCTGGAAGGAAAAATGCTAATGAAATTTCTGTCAACAGTCTCAAAAACAGTCTTGTACAACTGGCCATTCACCAACTCCTGTATTACTGAATCAAATGGGATACTCATGGCCACACTTCAGAGTAATGAGACATTTTCAATAGACATATTACTAATAAATAATCATTGCTAGTTATTACCTTCAATTTATTGTTTCACAATTAATTAAATCATAGATGCATGGAGTGATATGTGGTTGTTTTGCCCTCTAGTGGTTAGAGGAATTTAACATGATGTAAACATGGGAATGAGCCAACAACATTCTAAAGAAGCAGCCACTTGCTGCTTCTTTAGGGCCTAAATGACTTGAATTTGAGTTTCTATAGAAACAGATTTATTCTAATGAAAAGTGGGGCTTTAACAAAAGGTAGTACGATTATAGAATTCTGTTGCAAAATGCCACTTGCTAACATAACATCTTTCTACTGTGCTTGCTTACTACATTTGTCTTTTATCTTAATAGCACTTCCTATCTCAAAATAAAATGTCATAGTTCACTTATTTCACAATACTTCTGTTTAAGTTTACTCCTATCATTTAAAAATGTGGTACATCTCATTAAGTCAGAGAATCTCAATGTTGGAAAAGCAAGAGAAGTCATCTAGTTCATTTATCCCATGTTTGAAGATCTCCACTGAGGGGGCCCTTTCCAATGTTGGATAGGTCTAATTGTTAGAAAAAACTTCCTATACATAGCTCCGAAATCACTTCCCTGAAATTTCTACCCATTCCTCCTCATTCTGTTCTTGGTGGTAAGGCAGAACAAATCAAACCTTTAGTCTATATGTTAGTTCTTCAAAAACCTGGCAATAGCATAGCTCTCATAGCCCCTCCAAATCTGCCCTTTCCCATGCTACCCAAACAACAAACCCCAGTTCCTTTGCTCAGAACTCATGTGATAGAACTGCAAGGCGCTTTGCCATCCTAGCTGATATTCTCCAGCTTATCAATGCCTTTCCTGAAATGTAGCTTTCAGAAATGAATATAATGTTCTAGATGTGGTCTGATCAGGACTGCATACAGTGGAAATATAGGTGTATTCTTATATACCGCCATTCTTCTCAAAGAAGCCTAAAATAACATTAGCTTCTTTTTGTCTGACATATCAACCTGCTCACTTATACTGAATTCTTAACCCGCTACAAATCTCTGCTCTTATTCAGTTAAATTGTGATATAGCTATACCTTCCACATCTATTACATGTGGTATTCATTTCCCTGAATGAAAAGTGAAAAACTTTACATTTATCCCTATTAAGTCTTAATTTATTAGATTAAGATCAATAGCAAGGTACTTTTAGATCTTGATTCAGTCATTTAACACATTAGTCTATGTCCCCTAGCAAATTTGATTAGGCCCACTATGCCTTTATCCCACTGACCTAAATAAATAGATAGATAGATAAATACATAAATAAAATGAAGTTAAACCCCAAAGACAGATACCCTAGGCATGTCACTAAAGACCTCTTGCCAGGCTGACATCTAACCATGAAACCAACCAATCAAACAGTTTTGAATCCATGGAACTTATTATCTTATCCACATTTCACTGTCTGGGCCATGTGAATAGCTCCTTGTTAGGAGATTTTTGTTTTCTTTTTTTTTTTAATTCTGATAACAACCTAAATGAACTCTTTGCACCATCCATATATCCCTCCTAGTTCTGCTTCTTAGGGTCAGACAGAAAACCAATCCCTTTTCTGCATTTCAAATACTCAGAAACAGCTAATTGCTTCGGCCTCAGCTAAACATCCCCAGTTCCTTCAAATGAGCTTTATATTGTATATGGCAGAAACATTCCACAATTCCCGTTGGTCAGCTCAGCACATTCTGTGGTTTCTCAATGTCTCTCTTAAACTGTTATGTTGAAAACTGAATAAAATACTCCAGATGGATGACTAGCATGGAATATAGCAGTGACATCACTGACTTATTCTTGAGAGTTATGCTTTTCTTAATGTAGGCCAGGATCTCCTTACCTTTTCTGGCTGCTATATCAACCCGAAAACTTCTTAATACTCCACTAGAAAGTCCCAAAACTACTTTATTTTCTAGATAAAGTGCCATGCCTCACCCAGTTTTGATTTAAGTTGATGTTTTGAACCAAGGTGTAAAATTTTGTGTTTATTCAATTTTACCTGTCAAGTTCAGCCCTGTTGAAAGTTTAGGTAGAGCAAAGGGGCACCGCTCTTCAACTCACTAGGTAAAATACCCATAATTACAATAAAATGACTCTTTAAAGATATATGTGCACTTTTTGTCCATATTTCAAAGATCTATTCTTTCTTTGACAGAATATTTACAGATGCAGATTGTAAGCCATTGCTAAATCTAAGAGATAAGTTATAGTTGCCTGAGACTGAGAGAGTTTAACTGATTGACTTGCCCATGATTATTCAGAGACAGGATCTGAACCCAGGTATTCCTGATTCCAAATGCAGCACTGCATCTACTACATCCATCTGCTTCTCTGAAACAGATGCACTTTATAATGGATTAAAATTAAATCCTCCTTACTACCATCATCAGTAATGTTAGATTATGTACTAAAGAGCCAGATCAGCTCCAGTTGTGAATGCATGCTTGACCTTGCAAGGTCAAGATGAGGCATACAGATAAAGAATAGATGCTCACTTACTTTCAGCAATTTATTGAGCTAATTCATCAGTGTTCCATTTCAATTGATAAATATCTTGGAGAATCTGTTTTGCATGAGTAGACAGGAATGTTTGGCTTTACATATTTAACTCTTTAAATTTTTCAAAAGAGAATGTAGACTGAATGGAAAGTTATTCTTCACGGTTGTCTTATTATCAGAGCTCATTCTTATATCAAACAGTGTGAATCAGTAAAACAGGATAAGCAATCAGACTTAACATGATTAATGAGACAATTCATAGGTATTAACACCCTGTGATGTGGACTAAGAAGAATCATGTAGTTTGTAGATCAAAACAGTAGGCCAGAAATAGAATGAGCCCATAGTTCAAATGCTACTGTAAAAAAAAATATATGTCAATGATAGGTAAAATTGGGAAAATATAGCATTTCCATGTCATACATTTGAAAGAAATGGACTATATTTGGCACTCCTGCCATACCTCTATTCTTCTGTTCCATAGCCAGCTGCTTTTCAAGAGTTTCCCTTAGTTCTCGTTCCCTTAGGAAATCCATCTTCAGCTCTGTTTTTTCCAGTTGGACTTGTTTCTCTTGAGCTCTGGCATTGTCTATGGCAACCTTCAAGAGCCCCTGTTCAAAGGTAAAATCAATTACTCAAATATTTAGATACAGAGTCAGTTTCCCTCATTTCATAAAGTGTTTTACCTGGAAACAGCCATGCTAATTAATGCCTTTCATTGACATTGCACTCTGGGCATCCACTGGGTTAGTGAATGTTGGAAAATATACTCTATCTGAAAAACAAGCCTTCCAGCAATCATTAACACATTTTACTAGAACAAACTTTAAGGTGTTGTAGGTACAGCTGCTTCCAATCACTCAGGATTTCTATATCTAAAATGTCCACGAAAGTATTTCATAAGTTTTAAGTCTAAGAGGGCATGACTTAAGAATCATTAATCAGATAATTATGTTTCTATAATAAAATGAAAAGATAAAAATCTAAATTTGTGGGACCAAATATTGAGCATATATTCAAATAAAATAATAATGATAACTTGGAATTTATGGAGCACATTGGGGTTTGCAAATTGCTTTGCATTTGTTACCATGCACAAGAAACAAGCAGAAATCAGTTACCCTACATGGGGAGATCTTTAAATAGAAGTGAAACAAAATTGTATTAAAAATCTAGGCAGTACTTTGAGTGGCCCTTTAAGTCATGGATTGCCTTTCGGAGATAGCCTTTATAAGATGCCTATCTATTTTAAAAAAGCACTCAGAGATGAAGTTTGGTCATGCTTAATGTCCAATTTTATAGGTTTCAGGACACAATTTAAATGAATGCATCCCAACTTTTAAGGGCAGAATTACTTGGTGATTTCTACAAATAAACCTCTTCATAAGTGACCATTGTGCTTTATTTATTAAGAACATTGAACTGGAACCCAGAAGTCTGGGTTTCTTTTCTAGTTCTGACATTTTTTTAATATAACTTCATCATTCCAGGTTTCATTTTCTTCATCCATAAAGTAAGGAAGGTGCGCCTTCATTTCTGAACCCCACTCTAGTTCCCAAATCTTAATATCTCATGATATCCAAAATCTTTTTCTTGCTATGTTCTCTGAGGCTGAATCTACAAAGAACTCCAATGATAAATTAAAATAACAATCTCTATTCTATCTATGCAATTCCAGCAAACAGAGGGCTACACTGATGTCTTCACTGGACTATGAATATGATGAATATGCACCTTCAATCAAAATCAAGACTAAAAAGAAAAGTTCTGATTCAATGGAAAATCATCATTTTTCTTTCAAGGTGGGTAACTTGGTAGATTGATTTGAGTCTTGCCCTTTTGTGAGGCTATCACAGCATATATAAACTTTGCATTCCTTGTATATTCAACTATGAATTCCAGTACTACTTAATAACCATTCATTTCATCATCATCATCATCATCATCATCATCATCATCATCATCATCATAAACCCTTCAAATAACAAATTATCTAATATTTGTTATGCCCAATTTGTTGACTTTTCACAGTAAAATATAGAAAAATACCTCTGTCATAAAACAAGTAGAAAAAGGGTTTCTCTGAAGCATTTAGCCCCTTCCCTAATCCATCATGTTTTAACTATAAAATCTGGCTACTAATACCATTGCCATCTTTACTCAACTCAGTAACACTCAGAAATATGATCCTTCTTCATAGGGAGCAAACAATTAGTAACAAATGAAAGATATCATTACATCAAGTGCCCTTTTTGATCACCCCAATTAAAACTTAAGTTTAGCTGTATTTTAATTCTAAGATACCAAATTCTAATTTTCTGCTCTGATTGCTCTTGTTGACTTATCTTTGAAAGATGTACTCTCTGTGCAATGTCTAGAGATTATTTAGCAAGATGCCAATGTTGGCACCACTTAATGTGTTGATTGGTTGTATTATCAGTAGCTGTTTAAAATAAATTACTATTAAACTATTATTGTCCTTGGCTGACAAAACACAATATTTTGGTGTTCTTTAAATATGAAACAATCATTATGAATAAACATGGAGAATAATGTGAAGCTGCAACACTGATTTGTGTAATTTTATATTATGTATCTTTGAAAAATACAAAGTTATTAAGAGCATATCACATGCTGAAGCTGATTATTTCCTTTCGTTACATTTCTGCTAATGTAGCTAATGGTAATCCATTACCTATTCCTGCTGATTATGTCTGAAAAATATTAGCTTTTAGGATACAAGACCCTCTAGGGACTCCTTATAAGCTATATAAAATTAAGTTTCATTTTTAGATGTTAAATCAGTGCACATCAGTAGGAGTCCAATGTGAACAAAAATCTGCAGTAGAGCCAAAATGATGCATATGCAAAGTGGTGTTATTGCCAGTGACAGCCCTATTGCAAAAAAAATACTGAAAACTGATTAAATTGCAAGCTATTTTCAATGCAGCAGGGGGCTAAGAAAGCAATACTGAGTACTATTCATGACATCTACAAATCATTAGGACACTTCTTAGCCATCAGTGATAATAGTAATTTCATATCTGTATAAACTCCTATATATTCTCCAGGTGGATCATCTGCAAAAGATCACACTAAATGCTAGGTCTTACTTGGCCAGGCAGTATCTAATCCTCTCGCTGAATATTAAGTCAATATGCTGCCAATGACAATGTGAAATACAGCACAACATAGGATGTTAACAAAATGGATATATCTCCCACAAGGGGTGGTAAGTTCTGGTGATTTGGAAGTTACATAATGATAATTATGCTGAAAATCCACATTCCTGATTTGTTTTTAATATAGTTTATGGCAAAGTGAAAAGAAGAGAGACTATATTTGATTGGCCTCCAATTTTTCCTCTTTGGGCAAGGCATAAAGATAGTCATAAATATACAGATTTCCTTGTTTTCCAAGATGATTGATATTTTTTGGATTGATTATCTTCACCATACCCCAGAGATTGAATGCATTTCTCAGTTGTTGTTTTGTTTTAAGTGTCCTTTGAATGTAATTGGCAACTTCTAAATGGTTTTGGCAACCTAGAAAATGTTTGGATGGTAAAAGGCTAGTCCAATTATTAGCATAAAGGAAACTTTTCTTTTAATGGATACATTTTTTTATTATGCCAACATGTAAATGAGGGATTTATGTATTTATTTAAAACAAATCTTTGTTAGAATTAGATATAAGAGAATTCTACCTCAAAAATTATCAATTAAATTGTACAATATAAGCTGTAAGAAATCATCTTCTTTTTAAAATCAAAGAACTACAGACTGTTAAAGGTGGAAAGCTCTAAGATTATCTCAGCCAGGGGATCTTAACCTTGGGGTCTATGGAATCACAAGCTGTCTATGGACATATTTCAGGAATTCTATGAACCTCAAATTGGGGGAAAATAAGATCTTCACATTTACTAACCTCAAAAAAAGAAATTTTGCTTTTGTCTCAATTATTTAACAATGTTATTCTAAGAAGTATCTGGCAGTTTACCAGAGTGACAAAGGTGTCCATGATACATGCTGAAAACAAGGTTATGAATCCCTCATCCAGTCCATTTCCTTCAATTTGACATTCACTAAGTACCTACTATATGCAATATCCTATGATAGGCCCTTCATTTTACACACAAGGATTCCAAGATTCGGTGATGGTAAGTGATTTGTCCAAAGTACTTTATGGATAAGCTGGGGCTAGAATGCCTAGGCTGGTGCTGTTAAGCTCCCTGAAGACAGGAATCATTTTATTGTGATCTTTATATTCCTAGTGTCTAATAGAGTCTCTTTCCACAAGAGAAGGCATTTAAAAATATTTTTTTGAATTAAATTGAATTGCCTCTTGCTGGAATCCTAGTCTCCCCCTTTTAAGTCTTAGATTTTCTGGGAAAATGGAGAAGGAATATCCTGTGGATCTCCTATCTTACATATCTTTTAAACAGTACAAGGAGAAAACAGAGCCTAAAAGCAACAAACTGGGGTTTCCTTCAGAAGCTATTGTGATGATGGAAAAGATATCCTCATCTTAAAGTAAACATGAAGTTTCCCAATACCTGCTACATGAGCGAATCATCAATGTGGATGATTTTTTTTATGCATTGCCTCCCACGTGACTCAGAAATATGTAAGGCATGGCATTACTATATATTATTGTTTGGTCCAGTCATTGAGAAGAATGAAACTATACTTTCCACTACATTAAGCAATCATTAGAATATGGGTGTTTGAGGTCACCTCTGAATACTTTTTACAGTCCTGCTCCTGCCACATAGAATGTAAAAATAGGGGATATCAGGGCTCTACAGACTTCCCTGCGGAGTTGGTTGGAAAAGCAAAAATTGACAGAATATCTTATCCACTTGAAATATGCCAACTCACAACTTTATTGCTTAGCTTCTGTTACATTTGATTTCTCATGCTTCATTTTTATTTATGTTAATTGACATTAACATGAGTATAAGAATTAATATCATTTTATAGTGATAGCTTCATACTCAGATATTTATCTAGATAGGTGTGAATTTAAACAAGAAAAAAATCATCTAAATTCACAACTAAAATGTTTGAAAATACCATCCATGACCCTTTTACTTCAATATGTTGATAACTATTTCAATATAATTAGTTTCCTTTGTAATACTATGTTTATGCCTTTAAAAAAAAAGTATTATTCTCAAAATCAACCTATAAATTTTACCATACTGTCAGAGGGCTCTAGAATAAAGGCTGAGAACCTGAAATATACCGATTTTAGATCAGTTTTCCTTTTTAGTTGCCCATAAGCATTGGGAATGCAGCAGTATAATATAATGTATAGACAGTGACTCTAGAGTTAAAGGTCTTAGATTCTAATCCTATTTTTGATGTACACTCCCATTGTGACTTTGGACCACTTGATTTAACTCCTCAGGATCAGTTTCTTTATCTGTAAAATAATGGGATTGTGCTACATGGTCTTCAAAAATCCTTTTAATCCTAGAGCTATGATCCTATGGTTCATAAATATCACATTAGAGCTCCATTCATTAGATCTGGGCTTGACAAAAATTAATCTAGTTTGTTGGTTTTTTTCTGGCCTTATTTGCTTGGCTTTGCCAACAAGTAAGTGAACCAAGCTGAGTGAATAATTTGGTCCCATTTAATTTTAATAGCTAGCATTTTTTTAGAGCTTTAAGATTTCAAATAGCTCTACATATGTTAGTTAACTCATTTGATCCTCACAATAACACAAGAGGTAGGTACTATTATTATGATCCCTATTTTACAGGTGATAAAACAGGCTGAGAGAAAGTCAATTACTTGCCCAGGGTCACACAGGTAGTACATTTCTGAGGCCAGATTCAAATTTAGGTCTTCCTGATTCCAAATCCAATACTTTATCCATTAAGCCATCAGGTAAAGTCCAACTTTCTACAAAAAATCTTTGCTAGTATCTTTAATCTTAGCACCTTCTCTCTGAGACCAATTGTGTGGGGGGGGGGGCGGGGGTGTGGGTGTGGGTGTGGTTTGTACATAGTTGTTTGTATGTTTTCATCCCATTTAGACTGAGCTTCTTGAGACCAGGAATTGTTTATTTTTAATTTGTTTCTTTTTTGTTGTTGTTTTTTGTTTGGAGGTTTTTGTTGTTTGGTTTACTTTTATTTTATTGCTTCTCTTTGTATCCTCTGCACTTAACACATTGAATTGTACATAACAAACACTTAACATATTATAGTTTTGACTGACTAACTAATTTTGCTAACAGAATAAATTATGGCCTGTAATGAGTAACACTGAAGACTGGTATGTATTAATTCCTTTGAATGTGTTAAGTTATAACAGGTAAAATTGGTACATATTATTTCCAATTCATTAAAATCAGATTTTTTTTTTAATCCACTGAATGAAACTCAGCCATAGTTCATACTAAAAGGCAACATTCCTCAGGTTATTCAAGTAAGCTTTTCAAATGAAATAAATCTAATTTGTAAATTGGATTTTGAATATGGATTTAGTAGCTTTCTTCATATTGCTTATTCAATAATAGTCATTGATTAAACTAGAATTTAAGAATCAGTTTAGTTGGAATTCTTTACTCCTTTTCACACAATATTCAAGAAATATATATTCCTAGAAAGTTCATAATAATTTAGAGCTCACATTTGTAAAATTAATGTTTCCATAAAAATTCAGCATTGATTGATCTTATTTTCATGGTTAGTGGTCACTTTTATTCTACATGCAAATGAACCTGAGATTTCCTCCACATGAGGAAGTCCCTAGATAAATCCTAGGGAATTGCCTTTGGCACTGAGAAGTTACTTCCTCAAAATTACACAGCAAAATCAATTTCACCCAGATTCAAACAACTAGCAAATATTATTTCAGAAGATATGGCATTTGAACATAGATCTTCTTGACTTCAAGCCCAGCTCTCTATCCACTATGTCCTGTTGGCTTTTCTTAGTTCTAAAGTCAAACTATATATCATGTTCAAACAGGAAGAGATTATGAAATGCGTTTAATGACTGCTTTCAAATTTGATGTGTATATAGATTGGTCTTTTTGTGCATATAAAAACACAAATTACCTTAAATATGACAAAAATTAAAAAACCTTTCACTATCTTGGTAGGTATTTGGTAGGCTATTACTAATTTAGAAGAAATAGTTTAAAGTTATAAATAATTTTGCATTTATACATAGGCTGTTTCCTATTGAAGAATCTAAATGTATTTTAAATCATATTTTGCTTTATCCACCACTGAAAGCACAACTCACTCCCTTGTACAGAAAAAAGAAGTTTAAAACAAGCATACAGTAAGTGTGTTAAACATCTTCACACAGAAAGCAAAGAACACCATTATATCTAATTGAAACTGCAGAGGAAATTGGGGTAGAGAGAATGTAATTACCCAAATTAGAATTTGGATGGCACATTTATATAGTATGCCCAGTAGGCCAGCAGTACCATGTTTAACTCTGTAACCATACTCCACCTAGGACAATGTTGGATCTTAATAAATAGCAGAAATAATAAACCTGCCAGCAACTATGAGCTTTTGAAAACTTCTCAGGTGCTACCGTGAGCCATTAAACACACACACACAACACACACACACACACACACACACACACACACACACACTCCTTTAAAATATTTTTGTACAGAAATTATTTTCTTCAATATTATGCTAAGTTTTAAAGATATTATGGTAAGAATATATGACTAAATCAGAAGACGTATGTTCAACTTCATTACTTGTCTGCAACAGGGAATGATGAAACATTTGAACGTACTCATCCTATAGATTTGTTGTGAAGAGAGATGTCTTTAAATCTTAAAATGCCATATTAATGCAAAATTATTATTATTATTATTATCATTATTATTATTATTATTATTATTATTACCCTCATACCAACACAGATATAGGAGGATTGACCCAAGTAAAAAAACTTTAAAATGAAGCATATAGCTTTTATTATTTATTTTTGTCAAAATGGCTTTTACTTATAGTACCTTCCTCTGAATTGTTTCCTTCAGTAATGCTTAGATTCTCTCCCACCATAATTGAACTAAGTCCTTGCAATTCCTTTATAATCAAAAATAAATTGTCCTGACAAAAGAGTTTATTACTACAGTTGGAGGGGGGTATAGGTGTGTATTTGTTAAGAGTGGGAAAAAGCAAGAACACATCAAAATCTGCACAAACATTTTGGTTAACCAGAAAATCAAATACATTGCTCTCTTCAACGTAAATAAACTTTTTTTCTGAAAAAAATATGTACCTACTAAAAACATTCTATGTTTAGATATAGTTAGAGTGTAAGATGCCTCCCACATCATTCCTACTATGTCTTGTTTGGTTTTATTTGGGGGGAGGGGCAGAGAAGAGGAGGAAGGTGAAGGAGTAGTTCACCCTGAAGCCCCAGCCTTGACCCCACATTTAGCTTGAGAGATATGATAATAGCATAGTATGAGAGAGTCCATATGTAGAGAAAGTATGCAGCTGGTTTAAATTGAGGAAATCCAGAAATGCTGTAGTTTCTGAAGTTGAAATTAAATTCCAACCTCCTAGTTGATGTGGCTTTAGTTAGTAATATCTACATACAAACAGCCAACTATATAATGATAAGTAAATATTTAACATTTGAAGGGATAAAAGGTGCTTGATTTATAATTGTTTCCAAATAACTTAAAAAATAAAAATGGAAACTTCTTTTTTAAGCCTTTAGTGCTAATTTGAAAGTCTGGAGAAAAAATATCTACTTTGAAATTTATGAGCTAGAATTCAATAGGGGAAAATAATACTACATTTACAACACATAAAGCAAATTACCTTTCAAAAAAATCAAATTTGGAAGAAAAAAAAAGGTAAAAAGCCAAAGCAAATATGTGACTATGATTAAAGTTGGTTGGGTATTGTTTATTTGTATATTAATTTAATTATTTTTATGCCCGAGATATAAAACACTATAATTTAATATAGTTCTTGAAATTCTAATTACTTAAATATTAGAAATGCTACATTAATAGAGGAAGAGATATTTTACATTCTAAAGTGCTTCTGTGCTATCCTTGGAGAGGTAAATAAAATTAATTATATTTCCATTGGGAGAAAATTTAGTATAGCAGTAAAACATAATGAAAAATCCCACTTAAAGAATGGAGTGATAAAGTTAACACAAAGTATTAGCATCATCCTTTCCAGAGCACCCATTTTTTTTTAAAGCTCCAGACACTGAGCAGTGTTGTGGCCCAATCTCCATCTGTTGACCACATGATCACTGCATGTGTGGGCTAAAAAAAATCATGCTTTCTTATATTCCAAACACTCTTCTTGGCCTCATGCTATATGTTATTGTAAATCTTGACTATTTTTGAGTCATACTGTATTGTACATAAAATACACATCCTGAGTACCACATAGAAAATCTGTAGAAAGTTTGGTATTACTCTTTGAAGTCCATTCTTTGAAGAGAATGTTAGCTGAAACAAGCTTATTTGAGAAAGAAGGGATTTTTGTGGATTCCTTTATATTAGATACATTTCAAACAGCTAAACATATAATTTCCTCAGAGAAAGTCTAGCAGTTTAAAATAACTAGATATTTATTAGAAATGGTTTGCCCTTTTTTAGTAAATCAGACAAATTTAAACAGTTAGACTCATTCCATTAGCCTATAATAAAAAGAGCATTTAGGCAGAATGATTTGAAAAATGCCCATGTCACTTTCATCTAAGTCTCTATTATGGTTTAATATACAATCTATATTTTATGTACTGTATCTGAGTGTTTCTAAACCCATTTGATTAGTGCAGCTCCTTTTAAAATCTAAATTGCTGCAAGAGGTTTCATAAATTAGTTAATTCAAATAATCTCATGAATGGATTAAACTGAAATAGTTTATATTAATTTAGACAAATCTACAACCAAGTCTTTTATGTTCCTTTATACTGGCTGGTAGAAAGGCCTACCTGGATGTTAGTCAGAAGGGTCTCTATGGAGGACAATCCATCAGGGAATAGAAAAGGAGATGGAAAACCTGGAGGTAGTGGTTGCCCATGCCCAGTAAGAGAAAGTTTGTCAAGGCTGTCTCTTGCGGTTGGTGTGGAGAGCGGGGTCTCATCTGTATGTGATTGAAACAAAAATATAGAACAAGTTACGCTTGTCTGTTTTTATTAGACCTCAGTAATGGCTTCCCTAGTGGTTTCCAGAACATTTATTGCAAATTGGTTCCTGCTATCAGGAGAAAATGCTTTCTGCTGAATTTTCTTTAATGAAAAAGCTGTGGAGATACAACAAGATAACATTAATGAGTAACTTTATAAGCCTTTTAAATGCAGTCTCTAATGAGACTGAGTTTACAGTGCCATAGAATCTTTTTAAAACAAATATTATCTCACATATACTTGTGATAATATATTCAGGCTGCCTTTATGGGCACCTTCCCAATTATCTCATTTTAGTGTGTTTTCTATTTGGATTAACAATAGAATATTTTCTAGCATTACATATACTTGGTATAAGAAGAGTCATTTATATATTAGTAAGCGTCCAATGCAATTAACACTTTCCTTCAATGACAAATTCAAATGTGACCATAAGAATATATAAATAGTATAAAAGTAGATTTTTTTATTATAATCCTTACTGATAAAAAATAAAATTGATAGTTACAATACAAAAATCTACTTAAAATTGTAATTACATTTGGGAACAAGTAAAATTCTACTGAACTTGAACACCTTTTCACCTTTGATTCAGCTTTACCATAGTCATGGTTTTTTTCTTTTATACCACCAGAGTTGGGGGGAGTAGGTAATTATATGAAATTCCAGTATCATAATATAGGAAACAGAAGAAAAACTTCAAATTAAATATTCCTTAACAATTCAGTCTTCTTTTATCACTTTAAGATGGCACAAGATGAAATATTTTAGATTGTGAATCTGTTTAGTTATAATGGTGCAGCATTTTAATACTTAACAAACTTTTTTTAAAGATTCCCATGTGAAAGACATAAAGTTCTTCTAGTTTCATATATCCTTAAATTTTACCAATAATGATTTTTTTCTTTTTATAAATATTTTGCTATTTTTAGCCCAGAAAAACAAAGAAACAAGACAATGCATTTGAAAACCATTGATAGTATTGTCCATTTCATTTAAGTGACACAAAAACTCATTTTATTTCTTTATTCCCATAATATCATTCTACTAGGCTTCTGCACCCCAAACTAGGTTTGTTCGTTCATTTGTTAATTTGATTAACTACTACTTAGAGTAGAGGTATGCTGGGGCCTAACATCAGTCCCTAGTCCTAGGTAATGATAATATAAGTTAAATCCATCTTTTTTTTTTTATCATTTTACATTTTTACTTGCTATTGATAAACTTAAAAAATGGTAACCAGGAACAAATGGTGAAAGAGGATATAAGGCAGAAAAGTCTGGTATCCATGTCATACTCTCTTTTTAGCACCATATCCCTCCCCATTGTTGTTTCTCTCCCTCACCTTCCCCCATTATGACTAATGATCAGAAGCAGCAAAGTTTTTCAAGATGGAGAAAAGTAAAGCAACAGAAGTAGGATTGACTGTCTCCTTTTTGTTAAATTATCACACTTTTAATCAAAATTAAAGAAACCTGGGGAGGGAAGTTGGGTAATGAGGGGGAGAGTAAAGAGTAAAGACAGTGCAGTGGTGGATGTGATTCAGATGATCTTGGATACTTTACCTAACTGTCATAAATTAACCCTCTAGGGAAAAGGAACCCACTCTTTTTCATATGCTTCTCCTCAAAAGCATTTGCTAAAAATGTCTATCTTCACATGAAAGTTTTTAAGAAAGGGAGAAATAGTTTTAGATCAGTTTCCCATTAGGTGTTAGCAAGCCAAATGATTAAGGAAATGTGGTTTAATTTTCTATGAGCAATAATGTTATTTTCATAATTAACTCAGCCATCCATCATTCCCACCCATTTTTAGCAACCCACAAACTTTTGATCTAGGCAATTGTTATCCCAAAAGTTTAACTAATGTCACAAGCATCCTCATTCACTTATTAACTATCTGAGTACTTATCGTATGTATAGCACTATAATGGGTACTATGAGAAATACAAGGGGGAAAAATACATGTAAAACATGGTCCTTGCCCTCAAATAGTTTAAAATCTAGCTCATGAAATAAAGTACTTTCTTATGAAAAATAAATAAAATAACAAATATTACAAACATAAAATTAAATGAAACAAAAAATCAATATGTAAGATGTTGGGTAGTAAATATTGAGTGCCAAATGGTCACAGACAATAAATGCTATGAATTCATCCGTTTCATGAACCAGTCAACAAATATTCACTAAGTACCTACCTCATACATGTCACCATACTGTAGTAGGTACCAGTGTGTTACAAATAATTGGGACAGAGACTGAATTTGTGATTTCATTGGTATAGGAAATTATCGAGAGAGAACACTACGTCTCTAGATGCAGGTTGCCACAGTCTCTACAGTCTTAGGGCATTTCCTGGAGCACTGACTTTGTTGTTTTGCAGAGAGTCACACAGTCAGATTATGTCAGAGGCAGGTCTTCATGGCACTGAGGACAGATTTCTAGCTATTATACCATTCTGTTTCTGCACAAATCGTAAAACACCCATTTTTATTGAGTTATCAGGTATAGAAAGTATTTTCCTCACAACAAACCTACTGAAATAGACAGTACAAGTATTGCCATGAAAATTTTACATATAAGGAAACTGAGGTTTGGATAGGCTATAGTGATTGGTCTGTTATTACATTGGTAGTGTTAGAAATTTAAACTCAGATTTCCTGATTTTTAAATCAGGAATCTTTCCTTGATGCTGTGTGTGCATGTGTGTGTGTGTGTGTGTGTGTGTGTGTGTGTGTGTGTGTGTGTGACACACACAACTTCTCTCCTCAAATAGCTTACAAGGTAGTTAAGGAGACAAGATGAAGGCATAAACCAATACATAGGACATTTTCCTGTGTGGCACATTGAAATCAAACTAAAAAATAAATTTCCAAAGAATGAATGATTAAAAAAAAACAGAAGAGGGAGTGTTTAGTTTGTACGAGAGACATCAAGGAATGTTTCATGAAGGAAGAATAGCTAGAGCTGAGTGTTGAAGTAGAAGTTTAAATAGGTGGAACAGGAGTGTCAAGAAGGATTGAAAGAGTGGGGAAAAAAGAGAAAAAATTCTAGGGATAGCATAAGAGGACATATTGCATAGATAATGAAGAAATGACCTTAGTAAAAAGATAAGTTTTATATTGGGAAGAAATGAGAGATTTCATTGGAAAACTATGTTGGAAGCACAGTTTGGTGGACTAAAGCTAATGATTTTTTAAAACTTTATTTTGTTGCAATGTTGTAACTAACAATTTTCAAACTGAAGGCAAATTTTATGAAATATACATTGGACAAGTTTCATGAAAATGATCCACAAATATTGTAATGGAAACTGTTGAAAGAGGGAGAAAAAAAGTCATCTGATAGTCTCCTATGTTAAGTATTCTTGCTGAATCAGCATTAAGGTCTTTTTTTTTTTTTTTTTCGCTGCAGAATGACTAAGTGCTGTCAGTGACTTAAATTTCAGTGCCCTGGGACTAAGCTCCAATCATCTCATCCTAGTTATGGCTCTTCTTATAGTATTAGAGATATATAAGCATATGAGCACCAGAATGAAAGCAGTGTTTTAATTCAACAAATATTTATTTTTGTAGGTAAAAAAGAACTGTTCTCACAGTGGTATTCAAGAGAAATTAGACAAAGAAAAAACTAGAGATAAAGACCAATTAGGAGACAATTATGATATTCAAGGCATGAGGTAATAGGATGATGCCTGAAGAAATAAAATGACATATTGAAGAGATATTTCAAAGCGAGAATCATGGAATTATAGAGTGTGAAGGTACCTAAGAGATCTAGTCTAAATTTTTCATTTTAAAGAAAAGGAAAATTATTTTCTGAGAGGAAATTGGAATCCAGAGAAGTTGTGACCCCTCAAAGTCACTTTTGTTGTTTTCTTCTTTATTCCTTTTGCTACTATGTCATTCTTCCTTTCACTGAAAGAATTGATAATTTGGTTTTTTGACCTGTCAGATTTGGTGAACTTCAAGGAAATTAACAACAACAACAACAAAAAAAAAAACAGGAAATGAGAAGGAAGAACTAGTTTGGAGGGGTTACAGCAGAGCTTTGGTACAAGGTGACAGAAGAGAAGGAAAGATTAATTTAGTTTTGCAATTGTCAAATTTAAAGCTAATAGCAGATCATCCAAGTAAAAATATTTAGTAAAATTTAGAATTACTGGAATGAATTAGGGGGAGCAAGGTACTTTGGGGAAGAGATTTGTAAGTTGTTTGCATAGATAGAGAGTTTAGCAGAAGCCTAGAAGTGGGAATGTATTGGTAAATGCCTAACAACCAGATCTCCAGGGGAAAAAAAAGTACACAAAGCATCCCTTTAATCTGTATTATTAATATTTTCTCTAGCACTTTCTTAATTCTGAGCAATCATCAAACCAGTAAATGAAGCTAAGAGTTTCCCAATTTCTGATGGGTGGCTAGATGGCACAGTGGATAAAGCACCAGATATGGAGTAATGAAGACCTAAATTAAAATCTGGCCTCAGACACTAGCTATGTGACTCTGGGCAAGTCATTTGACCCTGTTTGCCTCAGTTTCCCCACCTATAAAATGAGATGGATAAGGAAATGGCAAACAACTTTTTTCTCCTCTTCTTCTTCTTCTTCTTCTTCTTCTTCTTCTTCTTCTTCTTCTTCTTCTTCT